TCAAGTTGGCTAGCTCAAAAGTCATATGTGAGGTTGCACCATTATCTGTAACCTAGAACTGTTCCATAGGTGTAGATGGTTGATGATTGACATGCATGGTTGAAAGATTCGAGGGTGGTGACTTGTCATGATAGGCAAAATTGCCTCTGTGATAGCATTGAATAGCTAAATGACTAAATTTCCATCAAATTTGGCATTGAATCGAAGAATGAGAACCTGTGACTGGTGTACTGTGTCTCTAGAAACAATCAACTGCAACATGCCATCTTTTGTAACAAATTTGGCATGTGGGAACCTCAGAAGGATGATCTGGACAATAAGCTTGAAATGGTCTTGGAGCACCAAGAATTCCAGGACTTGTATTTGGTGGAGGATTATAAGGCCTTGGTCCAGAGTAATATGATCTACCTCTTCCTTTACCTCTGAAGTTATTGCCTTTGTAACCTCCAGAACTTGAGGAGCCTTGATAATAACCACCATTTTTGTGAAATTGATTGCCATTATTATTGTAATGACCCCCAAAATTTTGACCAGAAGAAGGTAACCCACTACCATTACTCTTATAGTTTTGGTCATTTGTTCCAGAACTTGAACTAAATTTAATAGAATGCGAGGAATCTTGATCAAGAACTAAAGCTTTTCCTTTGTTGATTGCAGTACCAGCCACCACTACAGAACCAAAAGATGTTAAAGACTCAAAATATTGACTAATTGTAGTTTCTTCTGCCAACAATTGAGACCTGAAATCCTTTAGTAAAATATTGTTCTTTCTTCCTCGTATGACACATCTAAAGGTATTGAATTCTGCAGGAAGACCTTTCAGGGCAAGAATGATTATATCATCATCATCAAAATCAACACCTGCAGTTGCAAGATGATCCTTGGCATCTTTGATCTTTTGCAGATATACAGAAACAGATTCAGACCCTTTCTTGATGTTTTGGAGTTCAGTTTTCATCTGAAATATTGTAGCTTTTGTAATCGTTGAAAATCTTTCAGCAAGATTAACCGATATTTCATGAGAACTTCGGCTTCCAATGATGGAGGACATTGTTATTGTAGACAGAGTTGCAATGATTAATTGCATAAGGGCACGATCATGCATATTCCAAATGAGATATCATCTTTTTCAATCCCTTCACTTGTAAAATCTTCATCAAACTGTGGAGGACATTTTCTTGATTTGTCCGCAAAACCCATAATGCCATGACTTTCGAAGAGGAGTGTGATCTGAAAACTCCATGTTAGGTAGTTAGAATCATCGAGCTTAACTGTAACGGCTGTAGAAATGGTAAGAATAAAACCGATGATCGAAGATTGAACAATCTTTAACTGATCAGCAATAACCGTTGTTGATGTTGCGTAGAATTCTTTCACTGAGAAAATTTATCAAACAGTTGATATGCAGAAAAAAGAGCAATTTCTTAAAGCTCTATGAAGATCGGAAGAAGCCAATTGTTTTCGTTTATCACATAATAGATTGCAAACTAGAGGGTAAAAAAGAGAAAGAAATGCTTTGATTGAGGTGCGGAAGCGCCAGGTCGATGCTTGGCGATGACACCATGTAAAGATTGAAGCAGTAGCTTCAATAGAGGCGATTAAGAAAATCAGACTTGCAGGTACAGAGAAGAAGAGAGAGAGAGAGAGAGAGAGAGAAAGAAAGACTTTCTTGTATTTCTTAAGTGTCAATTACTTTTCTTACACCTTAGCTATATGTATTTATATGATTACATTGCTTAATGCATAAGCTAATATTCTAACAAACTAACAACAGATTCTAACAACCTTATAACTTCCCTTGGATCTTGTGACATCATCTAGACCCTTAAATTCCCTTCACTTGGATTCTCATCTTTGTGTTTGTTTACACTCTTACAATATTTCAATAATACATAGTGAGACAAGTGATGTGTAATGGTCATGTTAGTTGATGATTTTGTTTTATTAAATATGCTTTGAATGCATGACATAACGGATCATGTGGCACAATTTGAACACAAAAAAAAGTTAATGTAGAACTTTTTAGGTCGACGGGCCGAGGGCCACCTCCAACAACACCGATACTGTCCCCACTTAACCACCTGCACAATCCTCAGGTGTGGGGTTTTATCACAAAATGCCTCAGTGTTAGTTAGAGAGGGGTATTTCTATTTAAACTACTTTCTCTTTGGCCCTCTGGCCAATGTGGGACAACAATGAGTTCCAACACTCCCTCGCACATGAGACCCCATTTTATGGGTCACACGTGGAGATCTACATTGGCAACCACATGGAGCCATGTTGAGACTCGCCCATCACGTGGGGCCAAACGGGGACCCACCTAATCACATGGCATCTTTGGCCCTACATGGAGCCATGTCGGGACTCACCCATCACGCGGGGCCAAACGAGGACCCATCCAATACCATGGCAATATGGGCCCGCCTCCTAGCTCTGATACCATGTAGAATTTTTCAGGTCAACAGGCAGAGGGCCACCTCCAACAACACCGATACTGTCCCCACTTACCCACCAGCACAATCCTCAGGTGTGGGGTTTTATCACAAAAAATCTCGATGTTAGTTAGAGAGGGATATTTCTATTTAAACTACTTTCTCTTTAACCCTCTGGCCGATATGGGACAACAATGAGTTTCAACAGTTAACCAGCTGCACATTTATAATAAATGAATGGTGGTGATTTCTCCCGTGTAATCTGATGGCCAGTAAAAAAAACGAATTATTAATTTTCCTTGAGAACGAGCAGATATTATTTAAAGTTACAGCTTAGGTGGTTGTCAAAAGCAAGCTTATTGATTTACCAGCTCTTACTCTATCTGACATATAATAAAATTTCTCCAAGCGGTTGGTTTGGTAATAAGAGCTTCAGCTGGGTTTGTATTACGTTCGGCCCATAGAGTCCTATTTTACCCTTTTCTGACCTCTTGTATTTGAATTGAATTTCCTCTATAGCTAGCATCTACAAGTATGGTTTGGACCGTGACATTTAAATTAGTAGGTAAACTTCTAACTTTGAAATTTCATCAAAAATGCAAAACCCTAAGAACATGCTTGGAGATTTTTTATGGGAAATTTACAATAAGTAAACCCTGATAGTATCACCTACCATGACCTGGCGAGATAGCTACGTATTAAATTATTTAGTTCACTATAAGTAAGGAGGCCAAGTTATGGCCAACTTACCGACACAATCACTCGTCCCATACAAGTGCAATACAACGTCCTTAAAAAAAGAAGCCAATCCATAAAATTACAAGAAAAATCCATAGAATTAGAAGCTGAGGGGAACGTCCTTCATAGCATGGGTCTTTTGAAGATTTGGGTCACCCTTCTTATGACTCCTTGTGCAAATTTTTGGGGGAGGGAATGGAATCTGCTTGACATTGTCACAGCTGGTATGTTTCTGAGTGTGCATGTCCTTTGTTTGTTTGCACCGTTTTACTTCACTTGGACAGCATTTTGGTTGATGCTTGTGCTGGGTTACGTCACTGGTTTCGGAGTCACTCTTTCTTACCATAGAAACCTTGCTCATCGGAGCTTTAGGCTCCCAAAACTGCTTGAGTACTTGTTTGCCTATTGTGGGGTTCTCTCAGTTCAGGTACGTATGCCAAAACATCTCATAGCAATATCAACATTTTTCAACTTTGTTATCTTTCTCTTCTTTCTTCTTTCCACATTTGTTTTAGGGACTATTTTGACCAGGATCTGCATTAGGTTAATGAGAAAAAGCTGAGTTTGATGTGTTTTCATTTGCAGGGTAGCCCGATTGAGTGGGTGAGCACACACCGGTACCATCACCAATTTACCGATACAGAGAAAGACGCTCACAGCCCACTTAAGGGATTTTGGTATAGTCACATGGGTTGGATTCTAGACAGCCGTTCTCGGTTTGGAAGAGTAAGCCACACACTTTCTCTCTCAGACTTTGAACTGATAATTTCCTCACTTTTTGTTTAATTGATTTTTCTTTTTTGGTACAAATACTTACTAATATTTGTTTTGTTACATTTTAAGTACGGAGGTCTTCGGAATGTTGAAGACATGAAGAAGCAGCCATTTTATGTGTTTCTTCATCACACTTTCCTTCTACATTCATTTCTTCTTGGATGTGTACTATATTACATCGGTGGATTTCCCTTCGTGGTTTGGCCAATGGTGAGAGAGCTAGATTTCTAAATTTCCCTCTTTTTTCATCTTTGAGCAAATATGTATATAGCTACAGGGCTAGCCCTCATAAGTTTGAATAATAAGTTCCTTATGATTTCAGGGCGTGAGGATGGTGATTGTTTTCCATGGCACTTTGTCTGTAAATTCGGCTGGCCACATTTGGGGATATCAGGCATGGAACACCGGCGATCTCTCTAAAAACCTTTGGTATATATTATATTCATAGTTGAGATATAAAAATTTATTTTGAAAATTTGATATTATATACAAAGACGTACAAGTATTTATTTATGTAAAATCTTGAACTTCTTTAGGTGGTTGGGGTTGGTTGCACTTGGAGAAGGATGGCACAATAACCACCATGCTTTTGAATACTCAGCTCGACACGGCCTCGAATGGTGGCAGATTGACGTGACTTGGTACATCATAAAATTTCTTGAGGCTCTAGGGTTGGCAACAGATGTGAAAACACCATCCGAGGCTCATAAGCAACGTATGAAGGCTAAATCCATGGCTGCTCAAGAATAGGGACCTTGCTTGCAGGCTAGCTTAAACTTGTATTAGCTTTTTTAATTTATAATAAGATGTTATTATTGTTCATGCATGGTCATGGTGTCGACCTAGCTTGTTGTTGAAAATGGTTTGCTCTTCTTTTAACCAAGCCATTTATCACAAATTTGAGCGTTTATCTTTCATGAATCTTGTTTTAGAGGATGAATCTCGGATATGTAATCAATTGGTTTGAATTAAAAGCAACTACGAAACAAGAGGATTTATAGTTCATGTCCATGTTAGTTGTATGTGGCCATGCGTAATAACTTTCAGTCTTTTTCTATCATAACTTTGTTCCTACACTTTCTTTAAAACTAATGTTCTGCCTTTCTTTATCCCACTCAACATTTTGGTATAAATGGTGGTTGGAGCATTAAATATGTAAGAGTTAATAAGAATTCCTATAATATAGAATTTCCAATCCGAATTTATCTAAAGTGTTCCGACCTTATCCCGACAAAAAAAGTTCCGACATACTCCCGTATAGTTATTTACTCTAATTATGCAGTTTGCAATCAACTTTTATGTATATTTTTGTTGAAATAGATGCTTTATGTTTTTATACATCTTGTTCGTTGTGTTTATAGAAAAAATATACTTATACAGTGGCAAAGCCACATTAGCTCAAGAAGGTGCGGCCCCACTTCCGCTCATTGAAAATCCACATGAAGAGCGAGGAATTCATCCCCTGAACCTCCATAGAAGGTGTTTGAAATGCCTGCATGAAGGCATGTTGTTGCTCTGAGCAGCCGCGTGCGGCCCTTTTCATTTTTAAACCCAAGCCGAAACGAGGGCCCATGTTCGAACTATTCTATGTGCCCTTTTTTTTCTTTTTTTTAGTTATTTTTGTTTGATTGTTAATTTCATTTATGTACTTATATTTAAGAAAAGTTGGCTAATTCAAGAAGAGTGTTGACAGGAGGCGTTGGTGCCGTTGTTTTCCAGTAATTATGAGGTCCCGTGTTCGAATTTGTCTTACGCCTTTTTCTTTCTATTTTTTTACTAATTTTTGTTTGAATGTTAATTTCTTTTACCTTTGATTATAATTACTAAAATTTGGTTAATTCATCAAGAAGGTTAACTAGAGGCACATATTTTTTATATCCATTCCAATTCAAATTTAACTTTCAACAAAATAATGTATGTATGTCTTTACCAATTTAATTTGGCAAGCACAGAGATTATTTAGAAAATGATATCACTTTCACACAGTTGCAAAAATTGAAACTTTCACCTCTACCAAATCTACAAGGCTTTTGCTTAGAAAATTGCATTGTTAAAGTCTCGTGCTTAGACACTTTCGACGTCAAGTATTGTTCGATTGACTAGTATTTTTACCATATGACAATTTTTTTTTTTTTTTTATGACCACTTTTACAATGTAACTTTGTTTTTCTATATATGACGAACTTATTATCCGACAAAAAAAAATACTTATTTAAATTATTAAAAATTCAAATACCTAAGGAAAAAAAATCACATGAAAAACATAATTTTTTTTGTGTGTATTGTAAGTTTGTGGGCCCTATTTTTATTTTTGCCCAGGGCCTCTAAGGTCTACACATGCATATGTCTTTATTAGTCATTCACAACGGTCAAAAAGATTGCAAAATTAAATACAGACGAATGCTATGCAGCCTAGGCTTGTCAGCTTATCGTGAATGCATGCAAATTGGATGAATGGGACCTGAAACTAGCCATGTTCAAGTTTGAAATGGTCGAGATCGTCGATCTACACGTTCATTTGTCGTAGTTACGTTGACAAAGTTTGTGTTGGAACTAAATTTGCACACCTCTTTGAGCGGTGGTCAAGTATAACACTACTACAAAAGTACTCAGTAGTGTCACTTTAAAAAGAGACATAACAAGTCCATTTATGTCGGATGTTTAAGAAAATTTTAACATAAACTCATGCAATGTCGGATAAAAGAACCGACATCATTGCTATCGTCACGAAAAGGCTTTTGATGTCGGTTAGTCCTCTTAATCTGCCAAGAAAAAAGAAAGCTATATAAAATAAAAAAAGGATAGTAGTGTTGAATAAAAGTGACATTGAAACTCACGTTAGATACAGGTAACACCACTTAACTATTTAATAAATAAATTAGTGTTGACCCCAACTGACACCACTTAACTATTTAATAAATACATTAAACAACTATATTGTCGCCCATAACCAACACTACAAACCATTAATATAAAGAAATAAAAAGTTTGTCTTGATTTCTAACTGATAATAATTAATTTTTTTTTTTTAAAGTTCATTAATTATACAATTTGTAAGAAACATATATTCATATATATATATATATATATATATATAAGTTCATTAATTATGTTTATAATCTTTTACTAATTATACAATTTGTAAGAAAAAGAAAATATATACCTACATTTGACTTGCTTTTCATCTTCCTTAAGAGCAACTCTAGTGTGGGAGCCCTCCCCCCAGGCTATTCACTATTCAATCCACCTGATGAATAGTAACTACCCTTAATGAACAGTAATCGTCTTTTGCATCTCCACCGTTACACTTCAATAACCCTGGCAATAGGTAATAAAATATTAGTATTTTTTTATTTATAAAATAATACAAAATAATTTTAATTGTAATTTCGGATAAGATTTTTAATCGTTCTCGTTGCGCCACGTGTCATTATCCGAAGTATTATTAAATAATACAAAATAATTTTATTTGTAATTTCGGATAAGATTTTTAATCGTTCTCGTTGCGCCACTTGTCATAAAATCCGAAAGACAATTATTGGGGATGGATTTCCGATAAGATTTTTAATCGTACTCATTGCGTCACGTGTTATTATCCGAAAATACAATTATTGGTGATGGATTTCTGATAAGATTATTAACCAATCACGTCACGCCATGTGTCATAATCTGTTTACAATCTTTGAGGATAAATTTCCATCAGATTTTTAACAAATGACGACATGCCACGTGGCATTATCTACAACCTAATCCTTTCTGAATCCTCCATATAATCCACCATCCATCCTCACAAATCTCACACCAATTTTCTCAAGATCTCTATCATTATTCATAGTTTATGCTTCCTTCTTCACAAAAATCTCTATCATTATTCATAGTTTCTGCTTCTTTCTTACAATGTCTTCTTCTTCCTCAAGGATGATGTGGGAACTCGATCAGGAAGAGGAAGAATTGTTTAACCAATCAGAAGGAATGTTCAATCTCCAGGTGGCAAAAAATGAGAGGGAAGAGGATGAGGAGCATAGAAGGAGAGATGATGAAGCAAGAATAGGCAGAGCCTCACATTCCCGTCGAGTCGTCCAAGTTGTGGCTTAAATCTGCAGGTCCAGCCATTCCGGAAACCTTGCAAGTATATAATAACACGTAAGTATATAAAAAAAATGCTTAGAAGCAGTGAAAACAGAGGTATGTCATGTCAAGATGTTCAACAATAAAATGTGCAAGTCAAGTGATACGAATCAAGGTAGAATAGTATGTCAGTCGGAGTCACCTAATGTGACTTGTACGGCTGAATCTATAGCTCATCAGGTATACTTGCACACGAGTTGGAACAACTTATGGTGATATGTATAACAGGGCTTGGTGTAAATAAGCACACTTGAGTGCTACGATCACGTGAAGGTTGTGCGAATAATCGCAGGTCACCTACGAGTCTGAACCACCTATTGGGGTCTGTACGACAGGGATGTGCACCAAACTTAGATCCAAGGTGAGCGTGCGGTGCGGTGCGGAAGGTGAACATCATGTGAATGACTGTGCCCTGGCCACAGGCGGGAGCACTAACACTGGGGTGCAGGTGATAGGAGCATATTTATGCGACTTAAATGGCTTGTTCTCGTACATTTACGTTATGTTTCTTTAGTTATTTTAGTACTTTAAGCTATTTTCGTGTGTTTGTAGGTCCAAAGGGCTAAAGGAGCAAAAAGATGCATTTTGGAGACTTTTGGAGCACTTTTGGGCTAAGGACGGATAGCTTATGCTTGAAGCCAAAGTGTTGGACGAAATTGAAGACCTAATTGGAGCCAAAGTGTTGGAACCTTGTTCTCTTTAGTTTTAGGACATTTAAACCTTTCCTAATCCCAATCATGCCATGCATAACACACATCCATTCTAACACATTGTCATTGCACATGCATTTCCTTCATTAGTTAACCCACATGCACTTATCACTTATCATCACCACATATCATATCACTTAATCACTTATCACTTATCATCACCACTTAACCACTTATCATATCATAACCACATATCATATCACTTGTCACTTATCACTTAACATAACATCCACCTACTTCACCTACAACATCCACTTCACCTACAACATCCACCTATTTCACCTACAACATCCACCTACTTCACCTACAACATCCACTTCACCTACAACATCCACCTACTTCACCTACAACATCCACCTACTTCACCTACAAATGACATAGCCATATGTTCCCTCCACTACTCCTATAAATACCCTTGCATTCATTCATTCATGATCATCTCATTTCATACACAACACATTACAAACACATTCTCCCTTCCCTAGCCGTGAGCTTCCCATCTCTCCCCTTCTATTTCCACCACTTCCCAACCCTCCAAACCACTCCTCTACCATTTCCATAATCCCCCAAACCTCACCTTAGACCTTGTGCTACAATAACGAGGAAGATAAGAGGGCCTAAACGTTCATACAATTCAAGTTTGAGTTGTTGGAATGTTTAGGTGTTTCTTTGATTTCAAAGTTTAAATTCAATTCTCTTTGTTTTGTACGTATGAGGAATGGAAGAGAAGAGTGCCTAAACGTTCATACAATTCAAGTTTGAGTTGTTGGAATGTTTAGGTGTTTCTTTAATTTCAAAGTTATGAGGAAATAAACCCCCCTTTAGCTAGGGGGTGATTCGAAACTATGTTTATATTTGCAATATGAATTGATTAACTTTCGTTGGAATTTCATAAGTTGTGGATTCAATTTGTTTAACCGTTTGATTGATAATTTATTTATGAATGTTTATTAAGAATGCGCGCTTAATTTTCATGCATAAATATGACGCTAGAATATAAGTGAATTTCACCTAATCGTTAT